ACCAGCAGTTAGCGTAATGGCTATGTCACTGGGCTCCCACGTAGTCGACCGCGGTTCGCGTCCTGGACCCAGTGGCTTAAACTCATGCTGGGGCGTGTGCGTGCGTGCTCAAGATCCCGAGAGGAGAAGGGATTGTGGCGTGGCCATTCCCCCTGGGGGGTGATTTCTCACTTTCTGTCTCTATGTCTCTCTCTGTCTGTCTGGTGAGCGCATGTGCCCTATAGGGAAAATCTCTCCAAAAAAAAAAGTAAAAAACAAAGGCATTCCTTAAGAGATTTTGAAAAACCATCTGGTATTGTTCCTAGTAACCTCCATCCAAAGCTTGTTTTTTTAATGTACTAATAGCTTTACAGGAGAAAATCAAGTTTCTGTTGATACACGTCTCTCTCCCTAGAGCTGCCGTCCAGTAGCATGCCTTCAGTTCCTACATGTGTTCTGCTCTATTTGCAAAGTTGTTGATAAATACGTCACTGTCCCACCTTAAGACAACCTCAAACTAGTGTGATCAGAAAGATATCTATAGGACAAACAGATACGGAATGTGGTGGAGCCATAACACTTGGGACTGTGGTTCTCACATGGGAGAACCATGTGAGAAGACAACCCCCAGGGAGGTTGGGAGTTGTCTCAACATAGCTGTGAAAATCATCCCAGAGATTTAGCATCTCTAAAGGCCCCAGACACATATTGTGAACCAGCTCCACATGTGTGCAAGGATCACTGATTCAGAGCTTTGAATAAGGTGCTATGGAAGCCCAGGGAGACTGTGATGGGCTGTGCTAGGGGAAGGAAGGAAGGAAGCAAGGAAGACAGACATGGTGAAGGGCTCGGACAACGGTTTAGCACAGCGTGTCCCTGAGGTGTAGCCTGGCTGGTAGGGTGTAGGATACTCAGGGCAGGGAGGAGTAGATGAAGGTGAAACAGGGACTAGGCTGTGAAGTCTTTCATGTCTGGTCCACATGGACCAGGATTAGCATAGAAGTGGAATAACTGGAAATGAGGACCCAGAAAAAGAAAATTTCAAGGCCCTGATTTACTTTAAGTTCCTTTGAAGACAAAAATTGAATTTTATTCCTTATTGATCCTCAGTGCTTATCATAGGTCTAGATTTCATTAAATATTTACCAAATTAATAAGTGAACAATAGGGGCCAGCAGTTGACATAATGGCTATGTCGCTGGACTCCTATGCAGTCAACCATGGTTTGAGTCTCGCTCCCATGTAGTTGACTCCGGTTTGAGTTCCAGACCCGGTGGCTTAAAATTCATGCTCATTCCATAATGTGGACTTGATTATTCTCAGCTGATGCTTTTGTTGTATAAAATTCCATGTTAACAAATTCCTTCAGGTATTATTAAGAGAGACTCCTGGGGACGAGCAGTTGGTGTAATGACTATGTCATTGGACTCTCATGTAGTTGACCGTGGTTCGAGTCCTGGACACAGAGACTTAAATTCATGCCAGGTGTGTGTGCATGTGTGCCCAAGATACCAAGAGAATGGAGGAGAAGGGATTGCAGCATGGTCATCCCCTCTGGGGGGCGATTTCTTGCTTTCTGTCTCTCTGTTTCTTTCTGGCAAGTGCACATGCCCTATAGCAAAAACCTCTCAAAAGAAAAAAAAAAAAAAAGAAAGAAAAGAAAAAGAAAAAGAGACCCATGATACAAAGGAATTTAACCAATACCTGAAACCCCATGATAATGCTGAGGTATGGACAGACAAGATGACTACAGCTTAAAACGAACCTAACCCAATGCCAATCACTGCCCGGGGCCTGGACTCTTCCGCAGGAGCCATCCTTGCTCCTCAGGTGCTCTGCTCCCCCTGGTTTCTTCACCACTTGATATCTGCGGTATTACATCAGCATAGTGTAGATAACGGTGATATACATGGCTAGGATATGTGGGTAACTGTGATACGAGACTATCGTAGCATACCCAAAGAAAGAGACTGACCCATTTAAGCTTAGGTATGGCATCTGCACAAAGGCCCAATCCAGGACCATTCAAAACCATGAGGACCACTGGCACAAAATGTTTAGCCGAGTGAAAACCATTCCCACTGTCTGTAGCATCTGTTCTAACTCATTGAAGACAAGTTCTCCAAGCCTGAATGTGAAATAGGCACTTTTAGTGCTTCTCACTCATTTGCCTTAATTCAAAAATGATACAAAGATGGGAACAGCAGTTGGTGTAATGGCTATGTCACTGGACTCCCATGTAGTCAACTGCAGTTCGAGTCCCGGACCCGGTGGCTTAAACTCATGCCAGGCACATGTGCATGCGTGCCCAAGATCCCGAGAGGAGAATGGAGGAGAAGGGATTGCGGTGTGGCCATCTCCCTTGTGGGGGGGGGGGATTTTTCACTTTCTGTCTCTCTGTCTTTCTGGTGAGCGCATGTGCCCTATAGCAAAAACCTCTCAGAAAAAAAAAAAAAGATACAAAGCTAAAACAGAGTTTCTGTGCTTCAGAAATTTAATGTATCACAGAGAAACAAACACACACAGAAAGATAAGTACAGTATTGTGTAGTAAGTTCCTCAAAAGAGGTAGAAACGGGTGATAACATCACATCGGAAGGTGCTATGGTTTGGGTATCCCCCACCCCCAAATTCATATGTTAGAACCTGATTGTATTCAAAAGGTATTAAGAAGAAACTTAACAAAACTTAACACCTTCATGGTGTTGAAAGGTGGGCCCTTTGGGACCAACAGATGGCGTATTGGTTACGTATCTGGACTCCCACATGGCTGACTGGGGTTTGAGTCCTGGACCTAGAGGCTTGAAACTTGCACTGGGTGCCTATGCATGCATGCCCAAAGTCCTGAGAGGAAAATGGAGGAGAAGGGATTGCAGGATGGTCATCCCTTCTTGAGGGTGATTTCTTGCTTTCTGGCTGTCTGGCTCTCCAGCAAGTGTATGCACCCTCTAGCAAAAATCTCTCAAAAAAAGAACGAGAAAGAAAAACAAAGAAAGAGAAAGAAGAAAAAAGTAAAAGAGAAAAAGACAGAATAAAGAGAAAGGAGAGAGAAGAGAGAGGAGAGAGAGAGAAAGGAAGGAGAAAGAAAGAAAGAGAAAAAAAAGAAAAAGGTGGGCCCTTTATGAGTGATTACGTGAATAGGGTGGGGTCCCTATGATTGACTCCTGCTGGATTTATGAGGAGAAGGAAGGTGATCAGAAGAGGGACTCACAGATATAGACTTGTTCTTTCATGATGTGACTCCCTGCATGGCTTTGAGACCCCACCAGGAAGACCCTTACCAGATGTGGTTCCTGAACCTTGGCTATCTAAATCATGAGCTGAACAAATCTCTGTTTTGCAGAAATTAAACAGATTCAGGGCAGCTGATGGCATGGTGATTAAAGTAGCTGGATCCCACATGGCCAACTGCATTGTTCAAGTCCCAGACCTGATGACTTGAAATTCAACATGCTGGGCACCTGCGGGTGCATGTCCAAAATCTTGAGAGGAAAATGGAGGAGAATGGATTTCAGAGAGGTCATCCCCGCTGGAGGTGCTTTCTCACCTTCTCTCTCTCTCTCTCTCTTTCTCTCTCTCGTGAATATACAGACCCTATAGCAATTTAAAAAATATGAACTAGATTGAGGTATTTTCCATTATCAGTAACAGAACAAACTAGAACAGAGGAACATTAATTCAAAGTTGGAGATCAGAGA